GGGGGGGGGGCTGGTCAGCGGTCAGCAGGCTGTGGGGCCATGGGGTGGACGGGCAGAGCGGGTCACTCACAGAAAGCATGTTCTTGGAGACGATGACAGTGACGTTGTAGAGGATCAGGCAGTCCCACAGCAGCAGGCGGGTGGCCATGTCCTTGAGCAGCAGTGCCGTGCCAAAGAGCAGCAGGTAGAAGCACGCCAGCAGGTAGCCCAGGCCGAAGACGCTGATTCGGGAGGCCCCGGTGACAAACACCACCACCAGCACCAGCCAGAACAGGTACCGGAAGACAGCCACCTTCGCCATGTCCAGGTAGGACCTGCACCAGGCAGGCAAGTAAGCCCGTGTTACTGCCACCCACCCCACTCGGTGCCGTGCGGCCCGCGGCCCACCTGCAGTGGATGAAGTTGGGCACAGGGTTGGGCACGGCCTGCAGGGACTCCAGGCTGTCAGTGTTGGCGCCGGCCATGTGCTGCCACTCCTCGGAGCGCTCGGCCACAAACACCTGCCACTGCTGGGAGGCGCAGAGCAGCAGGAGCACGTCATCTGAGGACACAGAGGGCACTGTCCCAGGGGCCACCGCTGCGTGCCCAAGAGCCCTGGAGGAGTGGACGCTTGTGTGTGTGTGCATGGGGCCTGTGTGGTCTGTGTGTGTGTGTGGCCTGTGCAGTCTGTGTGCATGTCTGTGCTCTGTGTTTCTAACACGACCCCTGCAGGCAGCAGTGGGAGGGGGCAGAGGGCACTCACTGATAAGGTTGGTGGAGTTGGGTGTCCTGAAGAAGTCCGGCAGGTACAGCCACTTGATGAGTGCCGAGTTCATGGGGATAGCCCGGCTCCAGCGCCACGGATAGTCTGGAGGGAGCGGGGGTGGGGCTGTACTGGGAAGGGCAGCTGACCCAGAGCCGAGACGTGCCCTCAGGGGCTACACACTTACACACCCAGATGTCCAGAGCACATGTGAATGCCTAAGCTCACATTCAGCCCCAGAGGAAGGGGTCGTGGGTGGCTGGGGCCCACAGGGTCAGGGGTGGGCAGGTGGGCACTGCCAAGCAGGTGGTTGGGGAAGGGCACCCAGTGAAGGCCGCGCACAGCAGACACAGCCAGGGGTGGCCTGTGACAGCCCTTGAGGACCCGAGGCCTGGGAGAGGGGTGGGTTTCAGGGCAGGGGGTGAAGATCAAGGCAAGGTCCAGGCTTGGGGAGGGGTCTCTTGGGAAGGAAAAGATGTGCCCGCTCTGCAGAAGGTCTGAGCGGCGGGTTGAAAGCAGATGGGAGAAGTGCCTGGGACCACACTGGTCCCAAGAGAGGCTGGCCACAGCAAGGGGTAAGGGGGTGAAGAGCTAGGAGGACCGAGGCCAACTGCAGGCAGACACATGGATGTAGCAGCTGCAGGGGTCTGCCCACAGGCTCCCTCTACACAGCCTCACTCAGGCACCAGACGTCACCCCTCCCCAGCCCATGGGCACTCCGTCTGCCACTGAGGCACACGCTATATTCAGAGGCACAGGCGGGCCATCACTCCGGGCTCTGACCCCCACATGCACGCCCACAGCCGCTGGCTCACCCAGGCACAGGGCGGGCGGGATGCCAAGGCAGAGCAGGTACTGGTAGAGCAGGAAGAGGGTGAGGAACAGGCAGTAGTTGGGCCAGAGGTGGGCGATGGCCTGGCGGCGGCGGCGAGTGAGCAGGGCCACCAGCCAGCAGCCGTGCAGGATGACCATGAAGTTCATGCGTTGCCCGATGACGTTCACCGCCATCAGGAAGCAGATCTGGGGGGGTAGGGGTACTGTGACCCTCCTCTGTGTCAGCGACCCCCGGACAGGCACAGTGTGCACACGCGGCCCCACGGTGAGGGCTGGGGAGAGGGGCTCACGCCCCATCTCCTGCCAAGCCACACAACGGACAACGGGCATGGGGACAAGGGGCCGGCGGTCCCTGCGCTTGGCCCTCTGAGGCCCTCGTCCCCCTGCTCACGCCGCCCTAGGACAGGGTCCTGCCTCCCCCGCGCCGTCCTGCTCAGCGGACGCCCCGCAGGGGCCAGCGTGGCCAGCACCCTCAGGAGAAGCAGGTGCCAGGGCCTCCTCACCTCCAGACCAAATTTGTAGAAGAAGAAGTTGACGAAGTACTTGAGGCAGCTGAGCAGGTCTCGGTCAAGCAGCTGGCGGGTGCCGCCGGCGCAGACGGCCTGGGCGGGTAGCGGGGTGCGCTGGGCATGGCGGCGGTAGTGCTCCTGGCGCCGGTGCACAATGGACTCAAACACTAGCAGCAGCAGGACCTGCAGGTGGTTCTGGGACGGGGCAGAGGGCACCGTCAGGACCTGCCCCGGGCCCCGCCTGCCTCCCACCCCACCCGCCCCACTCACCTGGATGTACCCCAGGTTGGGGAAGCCCTTCCGAACCCCAAACCAGTTGGCGGGATCGACTGGCCCTTTGTACAGCAAGGACTGGTTCACCTCGGTCTTCAGCAGGTTGGTGCTATTGAGGGGGGGCTGGAAAAGGGGGGGTCAGGGCGGGGATATGGAGGGCGTAGCCTGGGGCTGCCTTCCCAGAGAGAGGGCCTGGGCGGCGGGGCAGGTGCGTGTACCTGGGTGCAGTTGCTGGCGTACTCGTGGGGGTCGACAATGGTGAGCTGGTAGAGCATCTTGCACACGATGATGATGCAGCTCCAGATCGTGGACAGGCAGGAGGCCATGGGCCGGAAGCGGGGGTAGGGCAGGGCAAAGGCCCAGAGCACCACCAGCAGAAAGTTCATCACGGACACCTGGGGGGACAGCAGGGCCGAGGTCGGTGCGGAGTGCTCCCCCTCACGGAGGAGGGAGGCCTTCCCAGTCCCCACGCCCAGCCCTCACCTCCTTCAGGGCCACCCAGATGGTGTACAGGGCCACCAGCTTGAAGATGTGCAGCTCCAGCAGGCGCCGCACAAACACCTGCACGCGCTCCCGCACGGCAGAGAAGCGAGCCCCCAGCTCCAGCAGCCGCTCCGCCACCAGGCCCCACTTGTTGGCTGAGGCTACAGGGATGGAGGTGTGAGCCGGGCTGGCCTGATGGAGCCCCACCCATCCCCCTCCTCTGGGGCCCCCCCCATCCCCTCACCTTCGGGCCCCCGCTTGGCCTGCTGGGCACCAGCAGGCAGCTGCTCATTCCCGTGGGCTGCAGCTTCTTGCTGCAGCAGTGGGGCCCCACTCCCCAGGTCCTGCCTAGGAAGGCAGTCAGCAGTCACTCCCTCCTGCTCCCAGGCAGCACCTCCCCCAGCCTCTGTGGCTGAGGGGTCCCCCAGCCCCCCAGCAGGGCGGCGGGGCTGGCACCTGCGGGCTGCAGGCAGGGGCTCCAGGGCGGTGAGGCGCATGAAGGGCTGGTGGAAGTAGTGCAGCTGCAGGATGCAGGCCAGCAGGAAGAAGCCGGGGATGAGGATGCTGGAGAAGAGCTCCGACACGCTGAACTGCTCCAGGCCCAGGTCGCCCAGTCTGGGGACGGCAGGGTCAGCCCAGTCCACAGGGCCTGCCCGCCCCCGCCCATCCCCGGCCACCACTGCTCACTGCTCGTCCGTGAAACCGGTCAGGTTGTGCCAGTAGGCGGGGAAGTCCTGGAACTGGAAGGTGTAGACGGCGATGAGCACCAGCATGGTGTAGGCCACCACGAGCCACCAGAACACCTTGAGCAGCTTCCGCCACAGGCTGTAGTAGACCTGGGGGGAGGGCGGCGTAGGACCGGGCTCAGGGAACCAGACCTGGAGGCCCCCGGCAGGGCCCCGGGCCGCCCAGCCCCTGTGGCACCTGGAAGAGGGTGAGGCACAGCAGGAAGAGGAACATGTAGACGATCTTGTACACGACGAGGCGGCCGGCGAAGCTGACCACGATGAACATGCCGGCGCACACGTAGATCCAGTACTTGGCGTACACGCCCGAGACCAGCTCCCCCAGGCTCCGCAGCAGCGTGCGCGTCTGCCCGGGCGCTGTGGGCCGCCGGGAGGAGGGTGCTGAGGCCCTGGGGGCAGGTGGGCACGGCCCATCCCCCCTTGGCCCACTGGGTGTACCTGACGGGGCGACGGTGACCTCGGTCAGTGAAGCCGGGGGCCGCGCCCTCTTCAGCAGCTTCTCCTTCACAAACTGCCGCAGCAGGAGCCAGAAGGTCAGCAGGTAGAGCAGCTAGGGGGGGGGCCTGGTCATGGAGGGCCAAGCAGCCTGGGCAGCCCCCAGACTGTGGGTCTCGAGAGCCCCCCAGGGGAGGCACAGGCCCCCTGTGCACACAGCTCACCTGTTCTCGAACATGCACGCACTGGCAGATTCACACATGTGTACACACACAGGTTGACACATGTATGCACAGGCAGAACCACAAACGTAGACATACAAGACATGCACACACAGGTTCACACACAAGGTCTCAATTTGCGAACATATACAGCTTACATGCACACGCTGCAGATTAACACATGCACAGGCAGGTCACAAATGTGCACACTGATTCACACACGAGGTTTCCATTTGTGCACATACACATGCTGTCTGCCGCGTTTACTCACATAGGTTCACATGTGTATGGTTTCAGGCTTTGCACACACATGCTTAAATTGCCGTTTTGTAGAAGCAAGTTCATGATTGCACGCACCAGTTTCCCATGTGTGCGCACACAGGCTCACACACGTGTGTAGTTTGATGCTTTGCACACACATAGATGCTCACACTGGCACCCACAGGTTCACACCTGCATGCACAGTTCACATGTAGTTTCTCGTGTTTGCACACACACAGGTGCAACTTCATACTTGGCACACATACTCACACTCAGACGCAGGCCCGCATGTACACGCTCATGTTTGCACACACCGTTAGCGTGCAATTTCCGTGTTTGCAGTCGCGCACATGCGTGCAGTCTCACACATGGCACATGTGCTCACAGCTCTCCCAGAGGTTCGTGTTTGCATGTACCATGCCCATGCAGTTTCCCGTGTCTGTACACACGGATTGACACGCGCACACTTGCAGCCTCACATGCACATACACTCACACTCATGCACACACAGGTCTACCTCTGCCAGGGGTCACCGCAGGCCCCGCGGGCAGCTCACCATGGCGCCCAGGTCCAGGCAGGGGTAGCGGGTGTGCTGTAGGCCCAGCTGGCGCAGGCTGACGGGGCCCAGCTTGGTGGGCAACTCCAACCGCAGGTCCATGGCCCAGACGTAGCACAGGCCACACAGCGCCAGTCCATAGAGCAGCAGGAAGGGTGCGCACAGCATGGCCAGCTGGTGGCGGCTGCGCACCGTCCAGATGAGGCAGGCCCAGAGCAAGAGCACGAAAGTCAGCCAGCTGTGGTAGGTGATGCTCCACACCTGGGCCGGAGGGGCGGGAAGGGGGTAGGTGGGCGGTGGTGTGCGTGGGCAGGCCCGTGCTGTCATCGTTGTCATGGCCCCCACCCCACCCCTGCCGACAGCTCATAGCCAGGCCACACCGTGCCAGGTGGGGTGAGCCACGGCCTGCCCCAGGAGTCTCACCATCATGGCGATGAGGGCACACACGTAACTCTGGTCCATGATGAGGTGGCCCAGGCCATGCAGGGGCGACAACTCTCTGTGCTCGGCCAGTCTGTGGCGAACTGGAGTGGAGGGGGGTCACGTTAGGAGCAGGGAGTAGGGCTAGGAGGCCTAGCTCCCAGGGACACGTGTGGGTGGGAGCAGGGCCCAGGCAGCAGGCCCAGGGGGGGCAGTGCCTGGAAAGCTGGTGGGCACAGGGACAGAGGGTGTCGGAAAGGGGCTGGGGGCTGGCCCTGTTCCCAGTGCCCGAGAGGCCTGAACCCCTGTACGCCACGCTCAGAACACCCCTGGGGCAGCCCACCGAGTGGAAATCAAGACTTGGGGTACAGACCAAGCACACTGAGAACTCCCCCACCCCTCCCAGTGGGACAGCGAGAGTCCTGGGGCACCACTTGCAGCAGGGCTCTTGGCCTGGCCTCAGGGAGCCCTTGTGGAGTCTTGGGGTTCAACATGGGGCGCTTTTGCAGCCCGGCCATGCACAGCGGCCACCAGGGAGCAGCCCTTGCTTAAGCCTGGGAACCCAGCCCTAGTCTCACTGTTCCCCCCAACCCCTCCCCCTGACTCCCCCGGTCCTTACAGGGCCGCTGCCGGATGGGGCTCTGGGCCGTCAGGTCATGCACAATGCAGTCCTCAATGTCCAGCTCGGGGCTGGGGGGCATCATGTGCTGGGGGGAGCAAGCCAGGATGAGCTCAGAGGGTGGTGCCTAGCCCCACCCCTCTGCTGCTCCCACCCCCACTCTGCCCAGCGCTCACTTGGGCCACCTCCTCCTTGGTGGCAGCCCCCACCTGGCCCTGGGGCCATCTGTCCACCTCAGTGAGCTCCACCTCGAGTTCCTCGTTGTCGCTGGCGGGCTCCTTTCTCTGCAGAGAACAGGCCGGATTGGGCTGTGGGACCCCCTGAGACAGCTCACCTAGGCCGGGCGGTGGGGACTCACCTGTACTGAAGGGAGCTCTCACTTGGGCAGATGAGGGTGCTCACCTGGGCGGGCCTGGGGTGCTGGCGCAGCCTGAACACAGCAGTGAGGGTGCCATACAGCAGCAGCAGCAGCCCGGGGCTCACGTAGACTGGCCAGTCGTGGCCCGTGTGCAGCTCCAGCGTGTTGGGGCTAGAGCAGTTGGGGGCCCGCACCAAGTCCTTGAGCCCCAGCACACTGCCGCAGAGAAAGGGGGTCACGCCAGGCAGGGGAACAAGGTGGAGGGGTCAGGCCGGGGGCCGGGGAGGGGGCTCACCGGGCCCAGATGCTGGGGGGTGGGAACAGCTCCCAGGCGTAGGGCGTCTGGTAGCAGTAGAGGCAGAGAAGGTGGCAGGCATTGAAGCAGCCCATCACGGCACACAGGGCGCTGAACCCACGGGTGCTGATGGGCAGGTGACAGGCCCACCAGGTGCACAGGGCCAGGAAGGCCAGCAGGTAGACGCTGGACAGGGCCGAGGGGTGAGCAATGCCTGCGGGGGCCGAGGGAGGTGATACCTGGTCCCTCCACACCACGTGGGTCCCCTGCCCCACCTCACAGGAAGCTTCCTGCTCCTCCACATGTCCTCCCCAACTCCACCCCACAGGAAGCTCTCCCTGACCCCCATGGGGTCCCTCTGCTCTGCCTGGGGTCCCCTGACCTGACCCCACCCTTCCAGGTACCTGCCAGTGCCAGCAGCGTGATGACCAAGGCCCGTCCTGCAGCCACCAGCAACCAGTGGGCAGTGTCCCGGAAGCGGGCTGCCAGTCGTGACCTTTTCTTGGGGGCCTGTGCCAGGGCCTCCCTCGGACCCACTGGGGAGTCGGGGTCCGCTGCCCTCTGGTCATCGTCCTGAGTGGGGCGGGGCAGCAGTCGGCCATATGGCTCCACCCCCATCCCCATGGGAGGACGGGTGCTCAGATCCAGCCTCAGGGACCCACCAGCAGTCCGCTCCCTAGGACACCCCCACCACCCTCGCCCCCAAACGGGCTGTACACATTTGGCCTTCACCCACTCTGCTGTCCATGGCACCCCCTCCACAGGTTTCTGCACTCTCACCGTTGTGGGGAGACTGCGGCCTGAGTGCAGCGAGGATGGGCTGGGACACCCCCTGGGCCCCTCTGACCAGGCCTGCTGCCCACTCCCAGCAACTCCAGGTAGGATGCAGTCTTCCCAGGAGCTGCTGGCCAGGGCCGAGCACTGTCCCTCCTGCCCACATGTCCACAGGAAAGTCTGTCCCAGGCCTGCCTCCTGGCCCCAGGCAGGGGAAGGCTGGGGCTACCGGAGAGGACTGGGCTCACTAACCAGCTAATGTTCTTACCTGTATCATGGGGGCCAGCATGGCCCTGAGGAGAGGGGGCAGTGTGAGGCCCACCCCCATGTCACCAAGCCAGTGCCAGCCCTGCGAGCCTCTGAGCTCAGCGCAGGCTGACTAGGCAGGTCCTGTGAACATGGGTTCCCGCAGAGGCAGGGAGGTCTTGTGGGGCAACACCAGGGACTAGATCAGGGTGCTCAGTCCCTGGACCCAGGCAACAAGGCCTGGACATTCCCCACTACCAGGGCCCTCCCTCAGGGGCAGGGTGTGAGAAACTAACACTGAGGGACATATGGCCAGGATTATATCCCCTAAATTATAACAGAGGGAATCTGGAAAGCTAAATTCAAGATAAAGTCCAAGCACATTATTCTGCTTTAAATGTCATTCCCACAGATCCTCCCCTAACAGCTATGCTGCCTTCGTGTGAGCACATGGTGGGTTCTGTCTCCCCATAGAAGCAGACATTCTTTGATTATCTCCTCCACGGAGGCGCCCATCCCCCCTCATGCCTTCCCCCAATGCAGGTACTGGGTTCCTCACCTGTGAGCTCAGGGACTTTACTGCGATTACCATCCACCTGCTGACGCCTGTAACTCCTGAATATGCATGACTAATGGCTACCTATCAAAGCCCCCAAACAGGAAGGACTCTCCTCTCTCCTCCTCCCACTCTGCACGGACCTGGCTGCTGAGATCATGGCTGTCCTGGAGTGAGTATGCTACCGTAAAATGTGTCCGACTCCTTGATTTTATCTTCCCTCCTACCTTCCCTGTTCTCTCTGAGTTTACTATAATCTTTATGTATTATCGCTGCACAATTGCGCCTACGGACCCCCCACGATTGTCAGAAGCTGGTTACTCTGACAGTGGGGGCCCAGGGAGGGGGAGGGGGGCTACAGTATGAAAGCTGTAGTCCTGGACGCCCCACCCGCAGCTGGCTGTGCCCTGGACCCTGGGTGAGGAGCTGCAGAACTGGAAGGACATGGGCAGGTGTTTGGGGGAGGCTGCTGGGCCCCTGACCTCACCCCACGAGAGGCCTGGGGCCCATCATATCCCCACCAGGCCTGTGTGAACCTGTGTGTATGCACCATGAGGAGGGCCGTGCGTGTGTGTGTGTGTGTGTGTGTGTGTGTGTGTGTGTGTGTGAGACCCAGGGACTGTGTGCATGTTAGGTGTGGACAATGTGTGCATGCATGTTAGATGTGGACAATGACAGTGTGTGTGTGTGTGTGTGT